TGTGAACGGTCTCCTTCCAGCTCCCTTGCATTTAAGTTGCCTGTGGCTTGGGCTATCTCCTGCGACAGGACATGGGACTGTCACCTCTTAGGCTGAGAAGGGACCTGGCACTCCACCTCGCCTGAACGTGTGCTCCAGCATTATAGCTATTACGTGCACCACGATTGCCACTGCCTACTTAAAAAGCGTGATTTTTGTTAAAGGTAGGGTTTGGTGGGTGTTAGGCAAGGTGTGAAAATCCATGCCAGATCAAGCCTTCTCAAGTGCTCGTACAGTTCTTTCCCTGAGTCTCATTAGGCTCAAGCAAGAGCTCTGGTCTAGGTGGGAAGGCCAGGGCAGCTCACGGCACGTGCAGACCCTTAGGGGCCCAGGAAACCTGACTTAGTTGTAGATGTGCCTGCCCATTGCAGGGGGGATGGACTAGAGGGCCTTTAAAGGTCCCTTCCATCCCTAAGCATTCTACGATTCTATGAAACGTAAGCACTTCTCGGGCTGCAGTTTTGGACTTGGGCACCTAGACCTTTCTTGAGCCAGTTTGCCGAAGATCCCTTCCTAGGCCTATTTGCTACTATCCATGGTCAGACTATCCAGTAAAGGCATGAACTTTTCCTGTATGGTAGCAGCGTTTCAAAAGGCGCGGTTCTAAATGACCAATTTTCATCACTTAAGTCCTGCTGTAACATCCAGATGTCCTTACCTTTTCTGATGCATAACCTACAGGTGCATTCACATCACCTCCCTGATTAAAACCATGAACGTGTTTAACCGCAGTGGATGAGCTACAAACACAGCCGCACAAACAGCCAGGTATTTGCACGAGTGTTAGAGACCACCAGATGGCTATCTCTGCTAAACCATTTTGATACACGCTGAACTGAGTTTTCGCTGGCTGGGTTCCTGAGATTCAATTCTTCTTCTTGCTTCTGGCTAGTAGCTCCTTACAATTAGGAACATCCTTATCGTCCGTTTCCACAGGCACTTTAAGTGAAACAGGTTTATTTTTTGTTTTCCACAAAAGAAAGATGTTTTTTTCAATAATGTCCACTTTGAACTCACTGATGCCCTCCCCAACCTGCCAACTGTTTTACATGGCACGATGCATTGTCCATGCAGAACCGTTTACAAGTCCCGTCTCTGTCCTACTTCCAAAAAAGAAAAAAAAAAAACAAACCAAACAAATCTTTTAAACATAAATTCTAGGAGCTTTTAAGGGTTACAGTTTTCTAATAGAGATCTTCAGCCAGACCTGGGTTGCTAAAGCCAAGCCTCGAGTAAGTTTAGAGAAAACGAAATCGCAAGGTATCAAGCACAAGGTGAGTACGGGCCCACCATCCTGCCTCAGTAACTTCACAGGGGATGTGCTGGAGGATTGATTTTATTCAGAAGCCCAGCTCACAAACTCCATACCAAGCTCACTTATGTCACTAAGTGCTTTGTATTAGAGGGCCGGACCCTTCATTCCAGCCTTAAACAGCACTAAATTCATACGCGGTGCAGTCTTTTCCTTCCAGGCTTTTACTTCCCAGATGCAACCGTGCGCTCACGTCAGAATAACCATGGAGAAGTCTTTGTTTTCAGCTCCTGTTCTACCACTGAAACAGCACTAGTTCTAAAAGGATGACTTAGATGCATCAGCACAGCTCATTTCAGCTCAGAGTTACCGTCTCCTTTTAGAGGTACAGAGTATTCAACCTGGATGACAACTATTCACCTTAACAACACCCTAAGGGCCAAATCACGCAAGGTGTTTCGGTAGCTGGAAATCATATGCAGTATCCCCAGTAAGTACAAGTAGGTTAGAGTACAACTGCAAAGGCATTCAGGAGAGTTATAAAGACAAAAACACACAGCAGAGATTTTGTGAATGATACTTCTTTTTTTTTTTTTTTTTTTTTTTTTTTCAGAAGCCCCGAGGACAGGAATTAAAAAAGTTCCAGTAGAAATGTCACACAGGCAGTTTAGCAACTAAGATCCTTGAAGAGCCGGTGAGCTCAGAGACCGCAAATTTCTAAGTTGCTGTAAGTAAAGTATCACACTAAATGTATCTAGAAAGTAGATGAATTTATTTTGAACTTAAAAGGATTTCTATTTAATGAAGGTATGCTGGATCTTTGGACATAGATGCCTTTCTAAAAATTATCCTCCAGAAGAGCTACAGATAAACCCAGGAAAAGGAGAAAGCTCCTAAAATCCTCTGACTTGTGTCTTACCGGGTCTAATAAGAGCGCTGAAGTGGCAAAGCTCAGGACCTGTTGTGTGTATTTATGCCGCGTTGCCCTTGTAGAGAATTCATTTGATTAAACGAGGCAATAACTAACACGGGAGGGGAAGCAGGGGTTTCTCAAAACCCGGGCGAGGGGAGGATGCACGCTGGCAAGGGGCCAGGCTAGCATCAAGGCAGCGCTATAGAGGATGTGCGTTTAACACATTCTCCTATGAGAAGTCAATGGTCTTTCTTGCTTCAAGTGAAAAAGAGGAAGAAAAAAAACGCATATCCAACTGGGTATATTCCCCACCTGACAAAGAAAGTTCTTGCAACAAAACCAGCAAAAAGAAAAGTAGAAGAGCTTAAAAAAGGCCGTCACTAACCTGGCCCGAAGTCCGTGCTCCTGTGTCTGAGTCAGCCAGCTCCAAGCCACTTGTTGGAAACCTTAATTCTGCACATTGTCTTATTGCACGAGAGACACGCTAGGAAAACACCTTTTTGCACACACGTGTGCTTTTAATAAAGAAAGGGGGAGAGCACCCAGATCACACGATGGGGTCAGGTTTACCTGGTGAATCGGACACTCAGGTCCAGGTAGGAGGTTTCAGTTGATAATTCTAGAACTGATGTGACTCTGAGTAGCATCACAACGGAGCATTACTTACTAAGTACACTTTTTTCCTCACAGATTTCTACCATTTCCCTTTCCAGTCTCAGTCTTTGGGCTTTATTTTCCTAAAGGCCCAAAATAGGAACCCCATGGGGTAAAGTGTACCTACTGTTTGCTGGAGATTTTCTAGTGCTGACATCTCACGTCCACAGCAAAGAAGGGTTAAGTGCCACTGCACAATATCAATTCTCCACTCTTCTTGCAGGGAGGAGAGAAAACATGTCTTATAAATGAACACCTTCAGTCTGTGCAGGCTCAAGAATCTCTGGAAGAGTGGCACAATGACCTTTATGGCTTTTCTGAATGTTAATCTCCAAGATCAAACAGTTTCATTTCGACTGTTCTGGGATCCCAGCATCCAGTGATCTAGATTACAGTCAAATCTGCAGGTGTTTTTGTGTGTGTGTGTGTGTGTGTTTTTATCCTTAATGAGAAATAAAATCAGTTTAGCAGTTGATTCAACTGACCTGGTGATGAACTTGGTTTGCCCTTGTCTATATTTTCACCTGAAGCCTTCACTGCCATGCTAGCTAGACTGACAGTAGAAGTGGCTTTGCTTTCCAGTGCAGTGGATAAATATTTAAATTCTAGCTTTCAGTTGGCTATTTATTATTTTATTTCTGGTAGTTTAGAAGTACATCTTCTAAATACCTGCATTGAAGGGGAAAATGTCTTCCAAACTGCAGAGCTCTTGCTAGATAAACTATCAAGATTCAGCACTAATTGCTTTCTAAGCAGTACTTGTGCAAGTCAAAAGGTATTTGGCAGAACTGTAAATTAGCTTTTGTCTGAGGTGGTCAGGAGCTACATTGAGGAGTTTAAATTTTCTCTTTTTAATTCTTATAGTCTCTTGATGCATGAGGAAACACCTCCAACAGGTGAGTGACTAAGCCAGTGCTGCACAGAATCCATTCTAATTTGTATTTTATTGAAGACTTCTGCAGTTCACTTTGAAATTGATTCTCAAACGCTCTCTCCTCCTTGATACTCTGGATTTCCTTCACCCATAAAGCTGTACGAAACCTGGCGAGAGCACAGCTGGCCAATGCCTGGTTCACTCTGCTTAAGACATGACTATAGCCAGCAAAGCAGGTTTGGGAGATCTGGTTAAGTACCCAGCCAGTAACAGCAAACCACGTTGGATCCAGCTGCTTGATCTCAGTATGTCTGTTCACATTCTGGAGCGAGAAGAGTCCAGATGCTTGTGTTTATACCTGGATCCTTAGATGCACTCTCAGGCTTGAGACTGATGTGATTTTAGGTGATCCAAGCCAGGCAGTTCACTAGTACAGTATGCCACTTGAATGATTTTTAAAACCTCATACTTTCACTGTGTACTGGAGCTTTTTGGTATCAGTTAAACTGCAGCACACTCTGAGTATCTCTACAAACTTTCACAACGTGCTTTCCACGTGTAGTTCTGAAAGATACTGGGATACCACCCTGGGAAGACAAGAAGCAGACCAGAACGACCTTTGCCAGTTCAGCTTCTCCACCACTACAGCTACCAAATTTGAATTAGTTCCTGGATTTCAGTTTGCTGAAATCAAACTCTGCTCCATTCGTTATCTGAAGGCATCAGTTGATTTGGATTTTTTTTTTTTTTAGAGTGTACACAAGAGGTCTTTAGAGGTACTGCAGCAGCCACAGTGCTGCTCGAGAACTTTCTAGAACAGCAGGCTGAGCAAATACTGTGTGTTGCCATTTCTGCTAGAAATCTAATTGTTTCTAAAGGCATCTTTTTTCTGAAGGCATGAAAGTGGAGGCAAATTACAACACATGTTGGCAAAGGAGGTAAAAATCACACGAGTCCCTTAGGAAGGAAAAAAAAAAACCCAAACCTGAACATTTTACCCAGAGTATGTACAAGTCATAAAGCATGCTCTATTTAATTTACGTTTCAAATAATTATCAACTTGTTAAATGTATTCCATTCTATACCACCACATCTTTGCCAAAATTAACGTTCATTATCAAATAAGTTAAAGTTGAAAATAATTTAAAAAATTACCCCAGTAAAAATGCACGTAGCACAATATTTTAGTGTAAATATAAAGATTTGCGATAAAGGTTTTGTGCAGTTGCACTCTTGTAATAAAATGAAGGGCAAAGAAGATTAACAATTTAATTCAGTGCATAGTTAAACTGGTTGGCAAACTTCTCATGCTTTCTTTGGTCCACTCGGTTCATTGCTTTCACCACCCGTTTCATAGCACCTCTGAAAGAGAAACAAAAAAATAATAAAAACCGTTATGTTGATTCTGCACAATCTCAGCGAATGTTTATGAATGTTGGGGGAAAAAATGAACTATGATTAATCACTACCAGGCTTCTGAACACTGCACTGATGAGGCTGAACAAATTTGTCTTGTTAACTAAATTAGCTGCGGCAATACAAATAGTTTAATTCAGCAATGATTTTATTAACAGGAGTAAACAAATTAAAGTCTTTCAGTTTAACGGCTGTGCATTCCACCCTCCTAGCATTATTTCTGATAGTCACACATACCAAGTTTGATTTTCAAAAGCACCTAACTGCTCTCGGGGAAAAAATAACTAGAAGTATCTATAACAGGATCTAAAAAAACTAACCCTTAGAAACCCCTATGAAATCCAACCTGCAGAATCTAGAACGTTTTTGTGAGGGAACGGCTTGCTCTTCAATTCATGCGACTATAACTCATTTAGCAACTTCCCTTTCACAGGTTACTAAAACCCCGTTTCATCAGCTGTGGGCAGAGTAAGACTCTCTTGCTCACACCAGTAGCATCCCCATTCCTGAGCAGCAACTATTTAATCCACAAGCACAACACTAGTTTAGGAACACACCAGAGATTGTTGCGTATCTCTGTGCAGAGAGCTAAATTACTGCTGCAGAACCGCTAAGTGCTTAGAGTTTAGCATAGGCAGGACAGTATGTCCAATATCTTATTCTTATATAAAGTGGAATGGCATCTCTGCTACCTCATGATGTTCAAGCATTCAAGCCCTCTGCAGCGCCTGCTGTGCTTGAAGGCGGCTCTGGAGTGTTCTTCAGATTCAAAAAGGAAATAAAGGAATGAACTATGGAGCTCTTAAGCTTTCTGGTTCTCCTAAATCTGATGAGGGTTGCCCCCATGTTGCTGCTCTTTATTTGCTGCCACTGTTCCCTCCCAGTAAAGATGGTGCCCAGAGATTTCTCCTCTTTTGGGAGCGACTGCTGTGCTTTTAAACTGGCTGAGTGAAGACACCTGCATTTTTCTTCCCTCCACAAACTTTTGAGTGAAGATCACGCAGAGGAGATTTTGAGGGTGAGGAAAATGCTGCCTAGACAGTATGAATAGGAGTAGGAGATTCCCATAAAAGGCATAAAGAGAGCAGGCCTGTATATCCTTTAACTGGTAAGGCAGAGGACTGGGTTCACGATTCCAGAGGGGTAAGAAAGCAGAAGAAAGGCAATAGCAGAAGTCAAGAGAATGCTCTGTTGCGTACATCTGCCCCCTCAGGAACTTATGGTAACTGTTGTGCACAGCTGAGTGCATCTTGCCTTGCATCTGGTTCTTCACTGGATTCTAGAGTTCCCATGTTTATTGGTTACTTTGGGTGCCTCTAGCACAAAAGCTCAGAAAGCTGAGGCTGATATTTGCAGGTGTGTACAGATGTCACCCTGCCTCTGTTTATGAAGAAGGAAGTTATCTCCTAACGCCTCTCTGTAGGGACCTGGATGCCCTGCCACCATGGGAGGTATACCAGCTCAGGCCTTGGTTGGAGGGACCATGTCCCGTTTAAGAATACAGCATTGATTGATGTCTCCTTTGATTTCTACATCAGAAATGCAGCCGGCAAGTTCCATCACACAAAGTGGATGGTTTCAAGTCTAGTGCTGTTAGACTCTACGTTGTCACCGTCTGCCTTCATCGCTTCTGAGGATGCTGCAGGCTGCGCAGTAAAACGAAGACAAGACGTCCACCTGGCAGTGTGCACCAGCCTTTTTCAGGATCAGGCCCTATCCACTGTTCCAGCTCTGCTCCTGTGGTTATCTCTGAGAGGCAAGCTGACTTCTGTTATAGCTAACTGCTCTCTGTAACAGCTTCATTTCAAAAGCCATTTTGAAACATCTGAAAACAGAGGATACTTCTTAAATAACGCTTCTAAATGGTGGGATTAAAGATTTTCTCAGCAGCAACTGTAATGAAAACCAACATTCTGAAAAAACACCTTGAAAGAGGTATACTTTTAACAAAATTCTGCCAATAAAGTTACCAGAGTAAGGAAAATGTGGTCATGGCTTTGCACTTCAAATATTGCCTAATTGGTAGGAGAAAAGTGAGCCTTTAGCAGCGCAGGGTGGCCTTGACACTTTCATGTCATGTAGGTTTTACATTAGCACCACTGGATTGTGCGATACTGTAAATGAAATGAGATCCCACTTTGATGATCTGTGTGCAATTTCACTTAACTTTATTGGCAGACTAGAGCCTGGGTTTATCACCTATACATTTCAAGTAATTTGGGGTTGTTATAAGGAGCCAAGGTTATCATCTTGTTTAGTGCTGCAAAGCATGAAACCTATTAAAACATGACAGGTTTGATTCCCTATGCCTGGCACTAACACACACTCAAAATCATTAGCACAAACCATAGTAAACCAAAACCAGCTTTTTGAATTTATTTTGTTAAAGCTGATATGAAATTCTGATCATTAGAACTTTATGTCTCTGACTTTTAACTAAGATCAGGTAACATGAGAATTTCACAGAAAACGTGCTATTTCTGTAACTAAAAGCAATGTGGATTTGGCTTTGTTATTATAACCATTACATCAGAAAAGGGAAAAGAGAGTTTAAACAAATATTGTGCCTTGGATGCTGTTCAACTCAGCCAGTATGTTTAGGGAATAACCCAGCACTGATGATTTTATAATAATAATAATAATTTTGCTTTTTTTGATTTGACAACTTTAGACTTTTCACTTTCCCTTGACTACCTCATTTTTGACATGTGAAGCTCTTTAAATAGCTGCAGCTGCTTCCCATTTGATAAAGACCAGAGCATGCTTAGGCAAATTTATGTTGCAGCCACATCTAACCAAGATTAGTATCAGAAACGGCGTAACAGAGTGGACGTATGAAGCTACTATACGTTCTCAAACCCGTTCAGCTTGGTGGGTTGGTAGGCTGCCACTTCCATCTGAGCTAGCATGCCTGCTTTAAAGTTAACTCACATGTCTACATAAGTCACAGACACACCTTTGTTTGAAATGTCTGAATGCCAATGCCATCCAAAGTTTCCTCTCCAGCTAAATGTAGGCTAAGAGCTACTGCTTGCACATGTGCTGGGAGGAAAGGGAGACGTATAGAAACAGCACCATCGCGGGAAGAATACTGTGTCCACGTGTCTGGTACAGGGAATAATCATCTCCAAACTCTTACACTGAAAAGAGACCCGCGGCAGGTTCCAGTCCTTGATATTTACAAAAGGCAGCAGGGGTTAAGTGAAGAAGGACCACAACACAAGGATCCAAATATTTTTCTGAACCAGTTGAATGCATTCTCAGTATAAAAGGAGAAAAATGCAATGGCAGTGCGTCACTGAAAAATACACAGGAAAGGATCACCATGGTACGTACTGGACTGGAAGGCACTGCATCAGGCCCAGCTCGCAATTTAGTATCCCCAAGAGTGCGGGAAGATACACAGGAAGCCCAGGCAGCAGCCAAAGGCTTGGGAAGGTCTCTGAGCATACACCAGAGGCTTGAGGGCAACTGCCAAGACACTGCTACATGCCAAAAGCTAAGGGTTTTTTTGACAGATCCTTTTATTAATTGAAGTTCTGCTCAGGGCAGCCCATCTTAGGCTTTCAAAAGGAAAAACTTTGTTTTCACTCCATCTACACTACTACAGTGTGCCTGATGCTGTAAGCTGTGTCACTCTGAACACATCATCTTCTTTCCAGGTCCAGCACTATTTGCACACATGAAGTACCATCCATCTGATTAATAAATGATCATCCAGAGAAGCCACTACAGCAATTAAAGGAGTAAAAAAAAAAAAATTGAAAAGGATAAAAAAAAAAATTTCATAGGGATATTTTGTAAATTAGCTGAAAATAATTCTCAAAGGAATAACCTGGGTCATCAGTACCTGCTACTCTTTACCCTCCAGAGATATGGAAGGCACTTCTGCTCTGCAGTTAGTGAAGAAAGTTGTTTAGTAAGTGCACGTTAATGTAGAAACAGAAAGCACTGTTGAAACAGAGGGAAACAGCAATTTAACAGGCTTTAGAGAAGGTAAGCATCTTACTTATTGAAGACTTTCTTCTCAAGCCGGGAACGAGAAGTATTAGCCTGCTGCTTCAGGTCTGTCAGATTTGGATATTTTTTCTTCTTCCCTTTCTTTTTCCCTCCTTTTCCATTATTTTTAGAGGAACCAAGATCCATTCCGGTAGCTGCTTCAACTTCTCTCATGAATTCTGGATCTCGCCACTCTGTTTAAAAGAAAAAGCATGCGCTTTGAAACTCTGAACCCGGGTAGAATTTGCAGTCCCCTAAGGTACAGGTTCTTGTCACCGCCGGGCGAGGGCAGAGTCACTGCGCTGTAAGTTGCATACACAAAGGGAGGGGAGGATAAAGCAGTTAGCCAAAATGACAGATCTTGATGAAAAAGCCCTGCCAGTCTGGGATTAGTATCTATTATTAGCTGCTGTAGATAAAACTGTTCTCTAGGAAGACTTAAGTCAAGTTTTCACAGTAGCACAGTAGCAGAATTCCAAGGAAACTATTCCACGTAGGAGAGGTGACAAACGCAGTGGTTATTATTTAGAAATTGAACGAAATGCCAACAGTGTAGCTGAGGAACTTCTCTCCAGAAATAAATTCTGAATGAGCTTAAAAATAGACGTAAAAAAGTGGAATACGTCAACTTTTGAGCAGAGTGGGGGTGACAACATTGTAACTTCGCTGCATCAAAGCAGCTTATTTGGTTCAAAACGTGAACCGGTATCCGACACCTAAATAGCATTCTTGAATGGGACAACATGACTCTGTTGCCATGAGCCCAATTTTGCATCTGAAAAAGAGACTACTTTTTAAGTATCTCACACTTCCTCAGTTTCATTACCTAAATCAAGTTTCTCTTCTTGACAATCACACAAGAATTAATTTATCTCTTTAAAAACTTGCTTTACGGTTTTATCAAAACCTTAATGCTTCAGAATCCAACCATACACTGTAAATGGATTCTGATCACAGGTGCCACCATGGGAAAAAGCAGGAACAATTTTGACTGCAAACTCCTTGGGGAAGCAGTGGTCGTTCACCTTCAGCGCAGAGTCTTGCATATCAGAGCAAGATCACACAGTACGAAGCAGAAAGTAAAAATGTGGCTAGAGGATGGATATCTTCAAGTGGAAATTTAGAAAAATGGCATTGCATTATAAAGATTTTGAGCATACGCGTTGGAAAAAAACGTAGCAAGTACCACTTCAAGGGTAACATGGCCCAAACTCAGCATAAATGTCAGAATTCTCTAATTTAACAACCAGTAGTTGCCACTCATTTGTCATACGGTTTCCCATATGTCAGTCAGCCTTTCTTGCCTGCAGAAATTTTAACACCATATCTCTACTACCCTTATTTAACATTGATGTAGATACAGAAAAATAAACAGTCCTAAACGACTATACAATTTCACTTATATACCAAGATGGTCACTGAGTGTGACAAATAGTGGCAATAACATTTCAGAAAGGTCAGAGGCAATGTCCCCACTTAAGAACATGGTGTTTAGGAATACCAGAGCAATTTTCCAAGGAAAGGTTAGATCTAACCTACTATGATACGTGAAAAGCAAGGACTGATTAAAATCCAACACACCAAAAAGCATGAGGAAAATGAAGCCGTGCAAGAACTGAGCAGGAGAAGTATAGAGGGAGAAAATAGAACACATACACTTGATAGATCATAAGACCTCACAGACTTTATTTTTTTTTTTAAGTGAAGGAATACAGAACAGCACAATTCAGATACAGGAACGATTAATCCAAGATTAAGGAAAACTGTCTAAACAGTTTATCTCCCAGTAATAAGAAGGCGTCACAGTTTAGGAACCCAGTGAATAGAGCAATTGTTTAAACACAACGAAAAAATGCCGGCATCCAGTAGAGATGAAATGAGCATTTGAGTAAAATGAAGGAGCAATTTAAAAGCCTTTGAGAAAAATCAATAGAATGCCAGGGAAGAGCAGCCTTTTTGAGCATTGATGGGCCCCTAAAGCTCTTCATACATTGTTACTGAGTTTAGCAGCAGGGAAAAGAAAATTACACAGTTTGCAAGGGTAGGCGGGAATCAATACTGTAGTTAGTAAAGAGATGCTATTTCACATCTGACTGGCCAGCGGCCTGCCTTCACCAGCCTGTCCTGATACCTGTTTGTTAACAAGTCACTAAGGGCTGAAAAACCAGATACTCTTCAGGGCTGACACAAAAAATAGGCACTTAATTTGCTCCTGTGTGCGAACTATTGGAAAAGGATGAACACTGCAGATTAGCAGGTCAGCGTAATCCCACCTGATTCATTGTTTCAGGACCAAAGAGCCCAAAGCACCGTTTTGTGGACATTAGCTAGAGGTTAACATTTTATACTAAGTTAAAAAATGCTCCATAACGACGACGACAGTGTTGTCAAAACATAGTCATTATCACATGAACTGTACTACTTTTACATAATTGTTTTCCCCTTCGACCGCACGAGGATGAAAATAAACCTACCGTCCAATATGAAAAAGAAGTAGGAAGAATTTTGGTGCAATTGAACCACGCAACTGATGCCCAGATTTTAATGTTTGGCCCTTTTCAAACTGTCATCATTAGCAAATGATGCTGTCAATCCTGAGACCAAAGCACTTACTGCACAGGGTGGGTCCCTATTTGTATATTTTCCATAGCAGCACTGCTCAGACTTGCTTCAAGTCCTTTGCAAAAAAACCCCAAACCCCAACAGAAACCAACCAAACACCCCCCCAAACCACAAGCCCCAAATAAACAAACTAAAGACCATTTTAAAAGGTTTATGAAAATATTATAAAACTAATATAAAAACCATAGAATCATAGAAAAAAAAGAAAGCAACAAAAAGCAGTGGATAAAAGTACTTAGTGACATCTGGTATACATATGGCTTTAGAAACCTGTAAGGTTTTGTCCAATAAATTAAGTGCCATCGCTTGCTCAGCATCTCCCCAGCCAGACGGGATGGACCTTTGTATGACAACTCAGCCTAACAACGGCACTCAATAATGCAACGCCGCAATGTCAACACTGGTTTGGGACTAACATCCACATCCTTGTGGGCCAGAGGTGAGAAGCCTCTAACAACACCGTGCTGACACTGTAATAAAAATAAATACTATAGCTAGCCTCCAGCAATGGCAATTTCACAGAAAAAAAAAAAAAAAAATCAATATTTTTCAGTGAAAGTGATTTTTATACCAGAGTATTAGTTTCTAGTTTGAAACTAGTCTCTCAAGAACACCTACTAGTTTAATTTGCTAGTTTTAGTTTGCCTTAACTAAGCTGGGAACTTTCCTTTTTGGCACAACATCTGCACCCCTGGCCTGGTTTCGCTGTGACAGCCCGGCTGTGCCCACGCCGTTGGCTGGATGCCAGTTCAGAGGACTTCGCTCCACCTGGACAAGGATGGAAACTGCCTGCAAACGTAGCACTTTGACACAGGCAGACACCAGAAGGTGTTCAGTAACTGCTGCATTCGCGTGGTGCTGGTAATTGCCAAGCACAGGCATTCAGAGATGGCCAAATATGTATTAAAGGGAAGTGGGCGGGTCAGTTGTATGTTTAAATGCATTGGACACAGACCTTTTTGGATAACAGGTCAACAACTGTTCTTTATGCTCTCAAGGGGTTTTGTGGAAGGTTCAGTAGCCTCGTTAATAACATATATGACTGTGAAACTGGTGAAATACTGAGTCAGAGCTTAAGAGGGAACTAACTCCTTAAAGAGAATATACTACAAGATATCAAAATGATAAAGCCTATGGGTAAGTTTAATTAGAATGCAGGCTACTCACCTAGAATAAATAACTTAAAACAGAGAAAACTAACACCTGCTGGAGGAAGGCAGATTAAATAAAAGCTCTGAAAACAAATCTGTCCCCTCCAATTACACACTATGTCTTTGCTGGATAGATCCCTCTCTCCCATCTTGCTTTGCAGTCCATCAGCTTCCAAGAGGTTCCTGGTTGCCGTCCCCCCGGCGCTCTATGAAAATCTACCTTCTCTCCGTTACTGATGAGGCTTAGTTGTACTCTTGCAAAAAAGTCTCTTATTCCCCTTGGAAGTCTTCCTGCCTGTGTATTCATTGCTTGCTGTCTTTCTCATTGCCTGCATTCTTTACCTAGCAGTCCAGAGCTTTATCCCGGCTAAAAATGCCCAAATAATCTTGGGGAAGGATGAGCCTTCCCTCCAGAGTATTCCACACCTAAAAGCAGCAGCCAGGATGCAAAGAAAAGGCCATTAGTTTTGTTGTCCATCCCCATTGTTTAAAACCAAAATCCAGAGTATTGCACAGTAAACTGTAAACAATTAAACAGCACGGGTCTGCTTGCTCCCTTCCTCAAGCCCCTCACAAACATCATGCCTATTAGAACATCCAGACTCGTTATAATGCCAATAAAGGAAAGCGCAAGGTGAGGGCTTCCCTAGTTCAGAGTATTTTCTAGCAATGCTGCACAGATGCACAGCACAAGGCCAAGAATTCTCCTTCTAAAACACAAGTAGTAAATGAGTAGATATAGGAAACAGAGAATATGATAGATACAGGAAAAACAAGTTCCCTCATTGTGACAAAAAAACCCACTCTGCCAATATTTGTGGTAAAACAGTGATCCTAGTAATATTATCATTACGTTACATAAACCACAACTGTTAGGGACCAGCAAGATTAGACGACTTCTTTTCAGAAGCATTGGAACAGTTACTGTCGAGCATTTCCCAGGAAATATGTTTAATTGTCCTTAATAAACATGTTGCTTAAGATAAAGGCTATAATTCGCCTGTCTGAGAAGTGTTAGGAACATTATGATAACTATTAGAAATGAAGAACAAACACAACGTTAACCTTATTCTGTGTACACACGCATCCATATTTACTACATAAGCAAGAATCACTGCAAATGATCTGCAAATTAAAATGAACAGGAATTTCAAGGAGAGAATGGGGTTAGGAGCAAAACAGAAATATGATCCAGTTCTGTGGATCTCAACCTGTGCCCTTAGCAACAAAAGGATCAGCTCTCTTCCTCCATATAGCCTGTCTCATTTGTTGTCCAACTGTACGCTGAGATTGTTGTCCAACTTGTATCTACACTGTATCTATATATAGATATAATATACACTATGTATATATACACAAAGTAGATACAATATGTTGTAGATACAATATATACAATATCTAGATACAATGTACGTACAATATAAACAATTATTGTCTTGATTGTAAATATATATTGTAGATATTGTAAACATTGTATACAATATATATACAAACACATATAAAAGATATTACACTTACATTTAAAGCTTATCTCCCACCTCTGCCTAATATTTTTTTTTTTTTTTAAGATGCTATGCAGGCACAAACCTGGCTGAGCCGCTTGCTTTTCAAACCGCATCTTTTCTTCTCTGGCTCTGTCCTCTGCATTAACAGGAACCCCAGATTCATCCCGAGGAATTATCTTTCCATGGAAAGGGCACTTCAGAAAGAAAAGGAAAAAAAAAAAAAATCTCAAAACTTCTGAATGAAAAGAAAATGCTTACGTGTTATTCAACAGAGCTTAAAGCCAGACATTGGAATCAAGCGACAAAACTTCACACTTGATCCCCAGTCCCCCTTAGAAAGCATCAGGATCCCATAACCATGTGTTTAACATATTCCGAATCTCATAGAAATAAGCTCTTTGTGATACGAATACCCAGTTTGAAGAGGCCAGGTAGCACGTCCTGTCAAGTCTGGAACCAGGGCACCAATGCTGCGTTGTATTTTGTTGTTCACGCTATATCCCTGTCCTGTCACCATCCCATCTGAAGTATTTTAGTGCATTCAGATCCTTCAATCTCGGGTAATACGGGAAGAACAGGGATATCAGAACAAAGTATTTAAGCAAAGTATTTCTGCTCAATAGGGCTCATAATTTGAGGCTGTGCAGGATTTAGCTTTCATAAAGCCTAATTTGTAAAATAAAGTATATCTTTGCCCCTCAAACACCCACATTTCTAAAAACAGTTAATATCAAATATGCTTCTAAATGAGGAAAACTTTTTGGCAAACAGCTAGCTGTCTCTGCTTCACTGTCAGGTACTCAAACATAAATATAATACAAATATTTATGATGAATGCCAAAAATATTTGAGAGTTCTTTAAATGTTTACAGCTTCTTTACAGTGTCGTGGCTTAACCCCAGCCAGCAACTATGAACCACACAGCCGCTCACTCACTCCCCCCCAGTGGGGTGGGGGAGAGAATTGGAAGGGTGAAAGTCAGACAACTCCTGGGTTGAGATAAGAACAGTTTAATAATTGAAGTAAAATAAAATAGAATGATAGTAGTAGTGGTAGCAATAATAATAATAATAATATAATACAATAATAATGTACAAAGCAAGTGATATACGACACAATTGCTCACCACCCCCTGACTGATGCCCAGCCTGTTCCCGAGCAGCAATCCCTTCCCCTCCAGCCAACTCGCCCCAGTTATATACTGAGCATGACGTCATATGGTGTGGAATAGCCCTGTGGCCAATCTGGGTCAGGCCCCCTGGCTGTGCCCCCTCCCAGCTTCTTGTATGCCATGCAGAGCATGGGAAGCTGAAAAGTCCTTGACTGGTGTAAGCACTACTTAGCAACAACTAAAACATCAGTGTGTTATCAACATTATTCTCATACTAAATCCAAAACACAGCACTATACCAGCTACTAAGAAGAAAATTAACTCTATCTCAGCTGAAACCAGGACATACAGAAAGGATGTCTCTCATATCAAGCACATATCAACAGCAAACTTCTCCAGATACAATTTTCTTTCACGGCCTTGAGCTATATTTACAATGTGAAATAAACTTTTATGGACATGTTTTAACAAGATCTTCTCCACATAGCACATATCCTGGAAGTTATGTTATTTGGTGCCCACCTTAATCCGATCTTGTCTTTCACACAGACTTCCATCAGGCATTGGTGCTCGACATTTATGTTTCACTGGTTCAAACTTGCCAGCAAATGTTATATATCTAGTTTTTAACATTTCAGTTATCTCTTTATTTTCCACCTCTTCCTCTACTTCACTGGGTGCCCAAAACCGATGCTCAGAAGCGAATCTGGGAAAACAACAAATGAAAATTATTCACAGACAAAGTTCTAAGAAAGCACATAAAGATGCCAGTATCATCCTGTGGTAAACTTACATGTAAAAGGAAGGGAAGGTTCAGTAGTGAATTAGAAAAACCTAGGAATCTACCATTCTTTCTTATGACTCCTATATTATGAAGATGTTTTTAAAATCTCACCAAAGCCTGTCTACTGATTTCTTGTTTAACCTGCTAACCTATTCCAAGTCTTAGCTGTAGTTCGTGATCTGACATTCAGAGTCAGTCATCTGATATCTAGCTTCAGCGAATAACTTGGTAATTCTGTAGTTAACATTCTTCATAACAAAATACTTCTGTGATTAAACACAGAAGATAGACCAGGGAGGAAACAGTTTGATCTTAACTTGTCTCATCTTATTCCTGGCAGCTGTACGCCTGTAGCAGCAGAGAATCAGAAGCTGAAATCAGAATATGTTGTAGATATACTTGGACCAAGGAAGAGAGCAAACGATCAGCTGAGGCTTAGAGAGATTCTTTTTTCCAGGTTCTCCTATACACTGTTCATAAGTCTGAGAAACTTATGGGGTGTTCCTCTAGGAAATTAAGCTAATCCATTGAAAATCCATTTCAAAATTAGAGATCTTACCTATATTTACAGACACATATAGGCAAATACTCTTCATTAATCTGGTGTAAAGAAGATTAGTACCATGCCAGTGGACGTGGGGAGTGGGAGAGAAGGGGAGCGAGGACCCTCGAGTGATGCAGTATTTTCGAATTTTCTCAACGGTATTCATATAATTTCATTTTAGCCACCCTAGGATGCCAACAGTCTATAACGAGAAAGAGGCAACCCCAGAGAGTAATTACTTGGTTCATTTTAGATGCTAACCTTAGGATGCAATGACTGTCCCTCTGATGGTAAATGTTTCTTTCTCCTAATCATGAAAAGGAATTAGGGTGACCAGCTTAAGCTTACATATCTAACTTTAAGACATCTGAAGTTAAACAACAACAATCCCATCCCAAATTTAAAGAAATATTAAAGAGAAAAAAAACAGCTAAACTAAGCAAAAAAAATTCCACAGCCTGCATGCCTGCTGCTTATTACAAGCAAAATGGAGATATCTAGGTGACAGATGTCTTGATAAAGACTTACAATTCATAAAGGACACTTTACAATCCCTTTCTTCCACATAGCTCTTCTACCCAATCAGTCCCAGGCTGGTTTGAGAGGATTTTCTCTATCCACATCCAATTCCTCTCACTCATTAATATCCTTGGATGTTTTTTTACTTTGCCTTCTGTAGACTGCAGAGCCATATATACATGAACACTGGCTTTGCTAATCACGATCTCAATTCAGCAAAGCACATAAGCCAATACTTAAAGAATTACTTTAGTGGGCCTGAAGAGTTTTGAAGAATTTTACCTAAGCAAGTTTTCAGCAGATGACAAGGAAAAAAAAAAAGCGGAGGAAATTATCTGACCTTAGCAACCTATAACATATATAGCTGCTGGTTTTACTGCAATACTTGACCATTTAAAACTACGTAAAGAGATTAGAACTACGTCAAAAAAGGGATTAAGCAATTTCGAAGCCATTCTATGATTTGCCAAATCATCAGAAAAATGTTCAACAAGTAAAATCCTTGTTAAAGAGATTTATGCTACCCAATAACTTCTTCATCGAATATACCTCGCTAGTGCCAGAAAAATTCTAATCTGCCATAAAGTACAAAAACCTTTCTTCTGGTAAATTAGGGGATAAAGGCAAAAGAGTTACAGTGGGGGCTAGTTCAACATTAAACATAGTAGTATGTTTCCACAATTTTTGGTTAAAAAAAGTCTCCAATCACACAATTCTGCAAACTATAGCCTCAACAAAAAATCTCTAAGAATCTTTATAATATACCAATATGACTTTAGTCAAACGAATAGTACAGTATGTCAGCTTCAGAAATTATGTGGCAAGATTGTCCAATAAACAGTAAATGAAAGAATGAAACAATTTTTTTATTTGCTTAGTTTTAATACAATCCTGAAAACAAGACTGACTGCTAGCTCTGTGTTACTAACCTTACAGACACAAGGAGAAAGTATTCCTAAAAAGACACCACACGGGATTTCTATGTGCAAAGCAGCCCTGCAGAATCTTTTAGTAAAATTCTCATGTCCTTTGGTGGTCTGAGCTCCCCTCCCCCTCTAAATTATCAAATTACAGTTACACGAGAATGAAGAAGCATTGAACAGTTGTGCATGCCAACCTTTCCAATTAGGAAAAAGTTCTATTTAATATTTTTACTTCCCCGCCAAAAAATCTGCATCAAACAAATCTCAAAGAAATTAAAATTATGTTTTACTCCATATATCATTGATCAGTATTTGGGAACTAGACTTAAAATAGCCTGAGTCCTGCACAGATATTAATAAATATTGTTTGCTACAAGCATATAAATTATTTTCACCCAGCATGACTTACAAGCAGGTGAGAAAAGAACAAACCAGTCCTAAATCCCAAAGTTTTCTGATTTCCTGCTGTTGTGATTTAAGCAATGCTTTAAAACAGGCAGAACATGAGATCTTTGGAAGAATGACGCATGTGACAAGTAAAACCTTTTTATAAGAGGGATGGAAGGGGGGACAGATAATCAACTAGAAGATCAACACCTCACTCACACTCACAGCGAGCGTTACTTTTTTTTTCCAGACAAATCACAGAGGCTCTAATGGAAATTACAGAGCTATGCATTAGGAAGAATAAAAGACAGGTAATGGTTAACTGATATCTAAAAGAAACTCCAGCTCCTGGAGAAATGTTGCACTCTTTCAACAAATCTATATCAACTTCATTCCTAAGATGGTGGGAAGCTTATCAAAGGCTTGAGTAAATATAAATTCTAAAACCAGCATGATGCATACAGAGATCCTGGAGCAAGCGCTAAATGACCTAATTCAAATATCGTAGTCACAGTCATAAAAAGTGCTGCACCAGCTAATTTACTCTGATCCTAAGATTACGCTAATTTAACCCAAGGAGGAGGGTAGATGAGTTTGGAAGGCCCATGCTATCCAAAATAGTTGGTTAAGTTGGCATAGCAGTCTCTACACAATACAGCACTGTGCAATATACACCACCCCCCAAAAAAACCCTACTACCACAGCTTTATAAACTCATTTTAAGAATTCTTTAACTAGCTTAAAGAGTTGCGTAAGTGAAGGTAGAAGTGGGGAAAATGGTTCAGCCCAAACCTTTTGTAAAGCCCACAGTAACTGCCACCTTCTAGAGAAGGTGATGCTTCACCATTTACCAGCTAAACAAAACTTCTTTAGAAAATCATCTTCCTGGTAGCTGCATTCTCACTATCAAAATCTTAATTTATTGTAAATGCTGTAATTAAGTAAGTATAGTGTTAAAGAGGTGAAGAGGAAAGACTTTTCCACCTCAGGTTTTAAAAATTCAAATTGCATACACATTCCATATGTGTTGTCTGTTTTTTGGGTTTGCTTTTTTTTCCTAGGCATCTTATATAGACAGTATGCGTCCATATAGAAAAGTTAAAGGAGTTGGCCAATGACTACCTTAATTTTTCAATAAATATATTTTATATCCAGGGTCAGTGGTATTGTGTGTGCAGAGTTACTTAAATTATCTTTAGTTAGATTGGCAGATCTGTAGTTATAGACTATAAGGTTCAGAAGCGTGCCCTCTATTTTATTGGAAAGCATAAAAATAAAACAGTACAGCACAAGGCAGACAGGCAGTGAAATATGCCTCTGATTTCACTTATGACTTGAATAACTCATTTGCAATGTAAAATAAAGACTTACTACCTTTTTGGCATTATCACAGACAAATGCTTCTTAAAGCCCTGCTGAAAATCTTAACCATTTTATAGGCTTTGAAGAGCTTACACCACACCAGACAGAATCCAAAGCTCGAGGTGACTGTGTTAAAAGCACTATTATGTATCAAATTTCACTGGCTTTCAACAATTTAAAACATATTCAGCATTTTATGCAATCAGGTACAGGGGCGACACTTTCCTGTTGTTTTTTTTCTGCAAACACTGTCTTCACACTGTGATCATGGGTTAGGTTTTTTTGTTTGTTTTGATAAGAAAACAGACTAAGTTAAACTAATGCTGCTGAGAATATATGACTGATTTGCAACCCAGCCAGTCAATGGTTTTTGCCTTTTCCAAGCCAGGTATGGTACACACTGATACTAAAGTTCTGGTGAACCTAAATGAAATTTATATAGAGAGGGAGGACTTTGCATCCCAACTTTCATATACAAATACTAGTGCTAAAAAGGGGTTTTAAAAACTGACTGCTAGAAACAAGTTCTGATGTGTACCTACCATCTGCTCTCCCCAGCATTGCTAAAGCTTTCCCCAAGCCAGCAATGCTTCATGTCCAAGAAACACAGAACCTTCCCAGACAAGAATGGAAAGCGAGATATCCAAATTCAAATCCTGTAACTGCCACTTATTTCTTGTGTGACTGAACAAGCATATCTATTTCCTCAGTTACCACTCTGTAAAGTCAGGAAAAATACCCCCGACACCTTCCCCAGCCTTTCTCCTACCTTGTCTGCTATTTATTTAGACTGTAAAGTCCCCAGCAGAGGGACCATCTATCATGCACTTGCATAGCACTTTGCATAATGAGGTACCAATTTAAATTGGAGTAAGTGATGCCATGCTGCAAATAATACACAAACATGAAAGAGCAGGAAAAATGTGCTTTGAAGCATCAAAGGATATTTAATTAGTATCACATCTTCTCAAAACAAATAACATTTTAAGGTTGAATTTCTGACTTTGTTTATGGGTCCTACGGCACAAGGGAAAGAAGAAAAGTAATTATCAAATGAAATAGCAGTCACCCCACTGCATGACCTCCGAGTACAAGTAAATCTATATATTTGTTTAATTTGTCTTGAAAGAAAAAGAGCATTACTTGAGAATCTTCCCAGCACTTGGCTGATCCTGTCCCCAGTAGTGAAGATCTAATCCAAAAGGCATGAGGGGAGCTTTAGCTCTTTCTTCTAGTTTTCTTCTCTTATTGTCAGGCTCTTCCAAAGCTGCTGGCTCAGTAGTTGCAGAGTCACTGGAGAAAATTGATGAAAAGTAAACACAGAACAGCAACGATCACAACAACTTTTTCTCTTTTTTCATTAGATTTTCACACCAATGGTAGTATTATTTTGGATCTAGGACTACAACTACCTTTACAGGGTTGTCCCTTTTTTTTTTTTTTAAAGGATACAGACCGTAACACCACACTCTCTAAGTACAGCACACTGCACCATGAAGCTTAACTGCACATTCAGCTAAAGCCAGATAAAATGTAGTATACCACGGGCGTAGAAGCCTAGAGATCTAATGGGGGCAGTAGTGGATCATACACACTGTACTGTAACAAGAGCTACTGATGTGGCAAACCATTTTTAGAAAGATCTTTCTTCTGTAAACTCATGCCCATGTTTGCATGGCAGTCACACAGATTGCAAAGTCTTTGTTTTTGTTGACAAAATTCCATCCAGCAGACTTAAAATACTCATCGTGCAACACCACTACAGAATTCATTAGTCCTCAAAAACCAAAGTACTACTATGGAGACCTTGGCTATTCACTGATAGAGGTGCAAATGGTCTTAGTCACCTTACTGAAACATGAACTTTTTAAAGGTTAAAAATAAAAATCTACACCTGAATACTCCAAACTCCAGAGTTCTAATGAAGCAACCCCCTTCCTCTTGCTGAGATTACATTCCAGTTTGCTAGGTTTTGGGGGCCTTCCTGGCCAATGCAGAAGTGCTTTTTCAGGAACATGCCACTAAGTAGATTACTCCAGTCTTATCCCATCACAGATAACGGCTAGACAAGGCTGGAGTTTCACCAAGCTTTGAACAGGATTGACAACAAATACATCTTTGGAATCAGTAAAACACACCTCCAGGCAGCACTGTCAGCATAAGTCACTAGGAACCAAGAGATGGTTGAAACTACTTTCTAATTTAGTATTAGGATATGTTCTGTTTAGTTGCAAACCAAAAATTACTCCAATAAATGGGGATGGGGTTTTTTGTTAGGAGAGAAGGAGATGTTTTATTTTTTCTTAGAGGCCATTTACACCAAATAAAACCTAAACCGAGTAGTAAAAGATTCCTTAAGAGCTGGTGCAATCACTAACAAAATCCCCAATATTAAGCATTGAATGTACATCTCAGTAAAAGAATTGTAACTTCAAAATGAAACCAAGACAGCCTTAGCAGCTTGCCTAGTTCCTGAGTGCTTTCATGACTAATAAATACAAGTAGGAGCAAGAGGTTTCTACAAGAATTAAACCAAAGATAACCTGGCACGTGGAAGTGGTAACTTTGGTAGTTTGTCTCTGATAAGTTTCAGTGTGGCAGCTGCACAGGTTGGATCAAGTTCATCTTCATTCCCCTTCAGCTGGGCGCGGGAGCTCAGCAGAGCTGGTCCTGTTGATGTCTTCCCCACCGCAACTTTTGGAGGTGACTCAGGTTCTAACCCTGAAAAACAAAATAAAAAAAAATCAGATGTTTAGGAGCGATTCAATTCTCCCACCTCAACGCTTCACAGTGGGGCCAAACAGCTCAGGATGCTGATTACATGTCTCACTGCTTTCAGTTTGCGTTAGACATCGATCCCACCCAAAGACAGAGTGATATTTCTGCCTGTGAAATTTTTCTTGTTTTGGAACAGAAACATACTAAGTAACTAACTACAGCAACCCAACTTTTAAATTTGTATGACATGGTGTCACAAGAAAGAATGATGTTACTTCACCCCGGAAAGAAGGATTTTAAGAATACATGTTTCCCTAAACTGCAATATTGCTTTTTGTATATAAGTTTCTAGTGTCACATCTGCTTGCTGGTATGTCATTTCTGTACTCAAGGTTATATCAAGGTAAAATAGAAGAAAGGAACTATTG